AGATTGATGAAGCAACTTTTTTTGGGTTTTTGCATATATGTAAATTGCAAAAACGCATATTGGGAAAAGGTTCTATGTGTGTATGTGTGTGTCTGTGTGTTCGCACTTTTTGTCACCCACCTTCAACTCGAGAACCAGAAAAGCTAGAAGGCTGAAAATTTGGGTATGTGCCTATACCATGCGCGACCCTTTCGTTTTAATTTCATCCCCTTTGGACACCTGGTTCCCGAGTACGGACGTTTTAAAAAAATATGTAAATTTTTTGCCGGGAAAGCGATCTCGGGAACCACATGAACTAAGCGGCTGAAATTTTGTAGAGATATTCCCTGCGCGCGTACTAGCCGAAGATTTCAAATTTAGCTTCCAGACATGCGTGGTACTCAGGTAAGGGCGTTTTAAAGTTTTAGGTGGAAAATTGCTAACTCGAGTACCAGGAAAGCTGGAAAACTGAAATTTTGGAGGAATGTTTCCTATCAAAATACAAGTCAAATATTTCAAATTCAGCCCCCAGCTACGCGTGGTACTCACATAAGGGCGTATGAAAGTTTCTGCAGGAAAATTACTAACTCGGCAACCAGAAAAGCTGGAAGGCTGAAATTTTGGGAGAATATTTCCTGCTCAAGTACAACTCAAATATTTCAAATTCGGCCCCAAGCTATGTGTGGTACTTACGTAAGTTTCTGCGGGAAAATTACTAACTCGGCAACTAGAAAAGCTGGAAGGCTGAAACTTTAGGGGGGATGTTCCATGTCCAAGTACAATTTGAGTATTTCAAATTCAGCCTTAAGTTACGCGTGGCTCTTACGTACGGGCACTTAAAATTTTAGCTGAATATCTGACTGAAAGACTAGGTTACTTTTAAAGAACGATCGTTAAATGGAAATTGTACATCTACTTTATGCAAAATTTGTGGTGATTTATGCTAATGATCGCAAAAGGTAGGTTTAAAGCAAGAACCATTCATGCAGTTAATGACCCGAGTATTTCAAGTCCGGTGCAAAAACGTATGATCGCACGGGGCCGCCCGGTACGTTGCAGCTCGGGTTGCATATATGAAAATTGCACAAGAGTGTGTGTATGTGTGTTCGTCTGTCCGGTATTTCAACTCGACAACCAAGCAAGCTCTGGCGCCGAAACTTTGCCAGCTGGTTCCTCGGCCAAGTACCATCCCAAAACACAGTACCAACCTCAATCACGTCTGGACCTCGCGTGCGAACGCACGACCGCCAGGTGCGCGTGGTTCTCGTATACAAGCACTTAAATTTCTTGGCGAGGAATTTGCTCGTCGAACAGCTAGGTCATTTTAAAAAAACGACTGCTGTGCGAAAGTTGTTTATTTTACGATTTATGATGATTGAGCGCACAAGGTAGACGTGAAGCAAAAACCATTCATGCAGTTAATCTAATTACTTCAAGTTTTGGTGCAAAAACGCATGGTCGCATCGGCAAGGCTGGAGCATTCCAGCCTGAGTTGAATTTCATGCTCTCTTCCCAAGATCAACCGGAAACACTTAAGATCAAACGGAAACACTTAAAGTTAAAAGTTTTTGAAGAATTTTTAATGAAAACTTCTGCAAAAATCACTTTTTTCGAAAGTTTCAGAAATTAATTAGGAGCATCTGCTGGAAATAAGAGACCAGCTGTTAGTGTCCTCTTTCAGTCTAGTGGACGGGCTTACCGACTTCTCTGCGAAACTGATAAAAGAAAAACAAACTTCTTTTATATGAAATTGCATCAGAATTTTTGGCATTTAAATTGAGTTCTACGCTCTTTTTTGCTTTATGAAAAAATATTTACGAGTTTACGCAGTCTACAGCAAAAAACATACTAAGAAATGGCTGCAGCACAAGTTATACCTATATCCGAAGTGGATGGCCAACAACACCACAACAATAGAGAAATTAATTACGATGTACATAAAACATGAAAATGTGTTGAGAACAACAATAACGGTCTGTGTGTCTTATCAAGGAATACCATGATCGTTTGGACAACCCATTATGGGTATCATATGTTAAAGATATTACTGTAATGCTCTAACACATCAGGCGGAGCTGTGCCAGTTCTTTTGACCTCTTACTACATATCTCTAGATAGGTTAGTACCCACTATCTGTTCGTTGTATGTGCGCTATTTTTCGAACATCAACTGGAGGGGGCGCACACTTTCTCGCAGTTTTGCAATTGTTATCAAAATTTTGGCATTTACCGCACATCTAAATTGGGCGTTTGATGCACTGACGATCTTGCTTCAGTGCATCAAACGCCCAATTTAGATGTGCGGTAAATGCCAAAATACCTGCTAAGAATTTTCACTGCTTTGCACCTTGGTCTATGCAAAAATAATTGAAATATTTCCCACTAAATATTTCACGTACCGGCAAGTGAAAACTGAATTTGAAACCCTGAAAGGACAGTGTTTTCATAATTTCAGGTTTCTAACTCCCGTAGATCTTCATTTTAACTGTCCAGATGGATACACACATAGCTGGAACTTCCACAGTGCATAAGCGTACTCCTTGTTTGCAGTGACTCTCATGTCAGAATGAGCAAAACTAGGTTCCCTGACGAAAACAATAAATAGCGACGCGCATCAGGGTAACCGGTGCGATAATGCATTTCGCGCAGTTTTGTTCAGAGAACGTTTACCTGCTAAGAATTTTCACTGCTTTGCACCTTGGTCTG